GTCCTGAAAGGGATCTGACTCTTTCTCTGTTGAACCTTTCTCTGGAGAACCACTGAGGAGCACCTGGGAAGGTTTAGCTCCTACCTAGCCTCCTTTGCAGGTGTCCCTGGGCCCCTCCTTTGTCTTTGCTTGGGGGTGTCTGCCCCAGCTCTGGTCAAGGGTGAGAAGCCCTTATAACAGCCATGAGCAATCTCAAGAATTCAGCAAGGGATCATGGCAGGAGCAGTGAGTCCCTTTCTGTCCCCACAGTGCACACCCTCCTCAGGACGAGGGGCCTTGGCAGCCTCCAGCCTGGTTATCTGATTTGGGGGCTGATGGGGTTTCTAATGGAAAACAATATGGTAATTTCAGAATGTTCCTGATTAGATGAAAATGATATTGCATCAAAGTTACTTCCTTAATTTATTCAGAAAATAACAAGAGAGAATTCTCTCCTAAGATCCTTAATTAAACAGGCTTCCACCTCTCGGGCAAAGCAGGCTCTGAGCTCCAGGTGTAAGGAACAAAGGCCGAGGCTGGCCTGAGTCTCCTAGGGACTGCCTTTAGGTCACAGGGCCCAGGGAGGTCTTACCTGGACAGACTGCCCCTCTGCCTGCTGGGAGTGTTGGCAGCAGAAGGGAATGGGATGGGGCTCTTTCCACACTGGGACTCCTAGGCGTGCAGCCAGTCTTCTCCACCTTCATCCCAGGGGTGACCCAGACCCACAGAGATGTCATAAGTAGGGGCAGAGAGCCGGTATCTGGGTCATCTTTAAGACACAGAACCCTGGAGGGATCAGGGAAGATGCTGATTGGTCCACTTAAGGTTGGGATGCCGCGAGGAAATTGGCACTGCCAAAGAGGTTCAGCAGAAGACTTTGGGGAGCAGGAGACAGGCTTGAGAGGAGCAGCCAGAACTGATGAGGCAGCTGGATGACAGCAACAGGGAGAGAAAGCTGTGGCTACTTTGGGGACCCAGAGGAAAAAAGAAGGGAGTACAGAGGAGCTACTGGACAGAGCTGTGGCACGGATGATGTGAGTCAGAGGAGTCTTTGCATCCCCCACTGGCACTGCACACTGGAGCATGACTGCAAGCCAGCAGTGGAGTGGCCTGGGTGACAACTTCCCAGAGGCAAGGTTTCTGGGTGCAGAGCAGGGTAGACGATGCCTCTAGGGGCAGAGCCAGCGGAGAATGGCCAGTGCAGCTCTCAAGGTGACAGGAAGCAACTTCTCATCTGTCTCACGCTTTGGTGTTTCTCTAGTACATTCTCATTCATTTTCCTTGTCATTCTGCACAATACTCCAAGGACTGTTTTTTGTCTTTAGGAGGAAACAGGCTCAGAGGGGTCTAGTGATGCCCTTGAAATCACACAGTGAGGAGGTGATAGGTTTGAATTTCATTTTGGCTCACTCCAAATTCTCCCCCTTTTCCACCTGGGTTAAAGTCCTGGATGATAAAACACTGGCCTGAGCTGTGGGTGAGGAGGGTTCCTGCTGTGGTCCGGCCCTGTCTGGAGCTCCAGTGAGGCGATCAAGGGTGCCTGCCTGCTCTCCCTGAATGAAGCTGTCTGCCACACATAGCACAGCTGACCAGAGTGAACTCCCCTGAAATCAAAACTAATTTTAGTGGGACCTCCTGCCTTTTGGGTTCACCGTGAAGGCATAGCTGAGATCGCCTGGGACAAGAGCTGAAAAAGGGGCACCATTCCAGAGCAAACAGTGTCCTGCAAGGAGCTCTGCCCCCAAGGCCACCTCTATTTGCCCACATGCATGCTGGCAATATTGCTCCAGCCACCTATCTGCCCAGCAGGGTGGGGGGACAGGGACTGTCTGTGGTGTAGAAGGAACTTGGGAGGGTTCTTGGGTGAGCTCTAGACCTTGAATTCAGATGTGGCAAAGATTAGGGAGTTACACCAGGGCCCTGAAACTGCAGCTTAAAGAGGACCATAAAGTGCAAGTAGGGCTCTAGGGTGGGAAAGCTGGTGGGGAAATGTGGGTGTCTGTGTGTGTGCTACACTTGAGCACCACAATATATGATCCTGCCAGAGGTCAGAGTCAAAGGAAATGCACTTGGTTAGATCGTGCAAGGTGATGCTGATGATAAAAACATCCTAGCACCCTTGAGAGACTGAGGCAGGAGGACTGCAGGTTTGAGCCCAGCCTGGGCAACTCAGTGATTAGTGAGACCCTGTCTCAAACTAACAAATAAAAAGTGAGGCTGTGGATGTAGCTTAATGCAAAGGTTCTGGGTCTAATCTTCAGTACCACAGAAAAGCGAAGCAAATGAAAACAGAAAACTACAGCTGATGTTTATGTAACACTACATGCCAAGCCTATTCCAAACTCTGTGTATATAAATGAACTAATCTTTACAACAAATTTAGTAGATAGGTACTATCGTGATCCCATTTATATATGGAGAAACTGAGGCAGAGTGAAGCTTAGTGACAAGACCAAATACTGGAGCTAGGGTTTGGGTCCAGGCCCAATCTTAATCACCAAGAAGTACTTCTTCTGGGGCCTGGAGCTGTGGCCCTGGACTTTAACTCAGCTGGGGTTTCTGGACCACAACCTGATACTTCCATCTGCCTCCTGCCCTTTGTCACCAGCAGCTCTTATTTGGAGGGATGTGAAGTTGATTCCCCAAACCTGAAGTATTAGGTTGGTGGTTCTATCTGGAGCCAAATCAAGGATGTGTCAAGGGGCTTAGATTTGGGGTTCTTCCTGGTGGTTGGTGTGTGGAGTGTACGGGGGTAAGGCAAAGGGGTAGCATAGGGAGGGACTAAGTTCTGAGGTCTCTATCCAGTAGCATAGTTGGTGAGAGTCCTAGAGAAGGATTTTATGCAGGAGAGTTGAGGGGTCACCCTGGAAGTCTCACTCTGGGTGATTGTGGATTGGAGGGGGAGCAAAGGCAAGAGATTTAACAGATCCTAAGCAAAAGGTGGTACAGTTGGGCTGGGGCTGTTTGATGAGGAGAGGGATGTTGGTTAGGAGACAGACACCTCAGCATTTGATGATAGACTAGGCATGGTGGGCTGGGAGAAGGAACCTAGGAGAATGGCTCCTAGGCTTTTGGGTAACTGGGTGGATGGAGTCATGGAGGGAGGGGCAGCTCTTGCCACCTCCATGGGTCCCTGAGGAGTGCAGGGAAGCCTGAGGTCCTGATTTGCCCTGGATTCTTTCTTGATGGAGATTGAGGTTGGGGCTGCAGGAGACCAGAGGTGTGGCGACAGACAAGCTAGCCCTAGGGCAGTGCTGATTTCCCTTTGAACATTGTTCACTTTCTTTAGGCTTCCTCATCTCTAAAGGACTCAGCCTGGCATTTGTAGGAGAGACGGAGGTGTACACCTTTCATTCTTCACACTCAAATCCAGACAGGCTCTTTGCTGCAGTGGTTGGAGCTCTTGTTCTGCAGTGAGCTAGGCTCGAATTCCAACACTGCCACTTTGTAGATGTGTGTTCTGGGGCAGATCACCCTGGCTCTGAGCTTAGGCTCCTCTTCTGCAGTTAGGGATCCAGAAAGTGGGAACCTCATGGGATTGTTGGAAAGGAGACAGGCTGCTACCTGGCTGCTGTGGTTAGGATGCTCGCTGTACAGGTTGGCAGAGAGGAGGGGCTGCAGTCTCTCACCTCAAGGGGAAGTTTTCCTTCTGCTCCCCTATCCACAGTTGGGGGGTATAGCCATTGGGAGGCGCAGCCATTGTTTTGGGCTCAGAGGATCAGTCAAGAAGGGAGAGGTCTTTCTGGCCGGAAAGGGGTGCCTGCCTGGCACCTCAGTCCTTCTCCAGCTGTGCAGGTCCCTCCTCACTCCCGAAGTCTGGGAGCAGCGTGGTAAGGTCCCATCCATCACCGCTGCCTACACAGGGGGCCTCACCAGAGAGGCCAACCTGCATGTGGGTTCTTAGTCTTGCCCCCAGACCGTGGGCAGCGCCCACCTTGGACCCTAGCCCCCAGTTCCAAATGCCCCTGTGCTGCAGGCCCCTTGGAACCCCAGGGCAACATGGATCCTGAATTCTCCAAGTCCCGGGTTGATTCTGGTGCCAGGGGTCGGCCCAGTGTTGCTGTAAGCCCCCTGCCTGGATCTGGAGATCCAAGCCCTCCCAGCAAGGCAGCAGAGGGAAGTAGCAAGAGAAACCCTCCCTTTCCTGCTCCCCCAGACTCTGCTCCCAGAGCCCAGGGTCCTGACCCTGGGGCTGAGCTCGCTTCTACCCCAGCCCCAACTCGGAGTTTGCTGGCAGCAGCCTGGATGACTTTGGTGTAGTTTCTGTGGTTTAATAAGCTACAAAAACGACATTATTTTAAGCCAATCTGGATATAGCACAAAAACTCTCACCCCGTCTGTTCTGTGAAACTCAGATACCCTGACGAGAACACAGCTCACAACCAACTAATACAATATTCTACTGGGCGCGCTGTCAGCGGGCCCCACGCGGGCGCCGGCTCCCGGAGGACGGCCCAGCCGCAGCACGGCAGGCCGAGGAGCTGGGAGCTGGAGGCGGCGGCGGCGGCGGCAGCGGCGTCGCGGGCTGGGGTGGGCGCCCGCGGGGGGCCGCATGTCCGCCGAGAGGCCGGGCTGGCCGCACGCGCCCGGGGCTCCCCGCCCCCTGCACCGGGACGCGGGAGGAGAGGGAGGAGAGGCGCGTTCTGGCCCGCTGACAGCGGCTCTACTCCCACAACTCGCATATGTCGGATTCCGAAGCAGGGAAGTGTGTCCAACACACCCAATGCAAAGACAGGTTGTTGAATATTTTTTCTCTCATCACTAAAAAGGATTCCCTGCTGGGTGCAATCAAGATCCATAAACTCGCGGCTCGAGTCGGTGTGAAAGCAGCGCTCAGCCCAGACTCCCTCGCTGGCGCTAAATGTAGGCTCTGGGCGGGCGGGCGGAGATGCGCAGACATCCGCTCGCAGTCTGGCCTTGCGACCGGCAGTTCCCGGCACATTAGGCAGTGCGCTTATTTTTGGGCTACGCTTCGGTGGATTAACTTTTCAGTGTAAAGTTTTGGAGCGCAGGCATCGTCCATGGGGCGCAGCCCCCGCCACCCTCAGCGGACACCAAGCTTTGCAGAGCCAGGGCAAGGGAAGCTGGCCCGCAGGGTGCTCGGCCACCCGGGGGTCATGGAGGTCGCGCGGGCAGCACCCTGCTGGGCCCTGGCAGGCAGGAGAGAAGCCCAGCTTGCTGGCCCAGCCCGCCCCAGGGTGCACCAGATGCCCGGCGCCTCTTTTCTCCCCAGGCAGAGGCACCGAGCTGGCTGGCTGGCTTTGAAGATCTTGCACTCATCCTCTGGGAGCCGGTCCTGGGTTGCAGGCTCCCTACCTCAATCTGCTGGGGGTGGCAGGCGAAGACCCAGACTTTGCTGGGCTTTTGGCTCCCTCTCCCCCTGGGGGCAGGAGACCTGGTGCATTTTGGAAGTTGTGATGCTGCTGTTCATGTAGAGACAGGGAAACTTCTTTTTCTTCTGATGCCCTCATGCAGGGAGACTGAGGCAGAAAGGGAGTGGTAGGGGTTTGGTGGAGCCTTGGAGAGCCCTGGAGCCGTGAGGAGAATTGAAAGAGGACGCATAGGAAAGCAGAGATGTCATTCTGGGCTCCCTCCTGGCTGATGCCTTGGGTGGGAAGAGGTCAGGGTTCTTGCTGCCACCCAGCGCTGCCCCCTCCCAGCCCCTCTGCACATTTGGTGACCATCACGAGGTGCTTTCACAGCCAGTGATTTGAAATTCCCATGAATTATTAAGAAGCAATTAAAAATGTCTCCAAAAAGCCCCTTTCTGCCCCAACATACCATTTTTTGGGGCGCATACAATGCGTCATTTACAATCAAAGCACGCTTCAGAAAGAATAGCCTGCCCAAGAGCCGGGCCATCAATGTACTGAGATTTTGCAGGGTGTGGAACTGATTATTTACTCACTCATTTATCCAAGATGATTGTTGGGGGGGACTCTGGACAAGTTACTGGATGGGTGCTGTGCGGGCCACAGAGGGCTTGCATGGGCAGAGACAACACACACATACTGTTCACCCATTCATTCATTTATTTGCACTGCCTGTGTGCCAGACACTGTGTCTGGGTACTGAACATTAGCAGGTGTCCTTTGAGTATACAGCAGAGTGAGCAAAAGCCTGGGAAGGACCAAGGACTCCAGAAGAGGCTTCTGGAGGCAGTGGGGGCTGTGTCCCAGCCCAGTTTGAACCGGAACTGAGCGAGGGCTGGGAGGATCGTCCATTGGCAGAGCATTTGGCTGCCAACTTAAACCAAAGCAGAAACAAATGACAAGAAAGAGGTAATGTTGAGGCAGTTTTGGGGAGCCCTGGAAAGAAAAAAAAAAGCCCTTGTCGTTACTCATAAATCATAAATCACTGTCTCAAACCCCTCCCCCCAGGAGATCAGCACATTGCAAAGACAGGTTGTTGAATATTTTCTCTCTCATCACTAAGAAGGCCTCCCTGCTGGGTGTAATCAAGAACCATAAACTCTCCTTGCAAGGAGTCGGTGTGAATCGAGCCCCACTCCACTTGCCTCGATTCTGACATGCTCTGGCCAGCTGGCAAGGGTTGCTCTCCCGGATGCATTTGAAGGGGACTGAGCAGCGAGGGGCTGGGGCTTGGAAAGTGTCTACCACCAGCTTGGTAATGACCTAGCCTGGAATTCAGGGTGTCTCTCCTGAAAGGTCAGGAAGGAGAGAAATCAATGCCTGCAGATGAGGAGTCAGGGCATTGACAAGTGACACAGGCATGTGCTATGGCCCTCACCCCACATCCTCTGGTCACCAGGGAGAGGAGATAACAACCTGGATGGCCTCGCAGACTGGTGGTTTTTCTAATAGGCTGGTGGACCAGATGAAGCATCTTTTCTCTGGTTTTCAGAACTGTCCTTTTCAAGGTAGAAGAGGGCAGGGACCTGGTGTTGCCCCAGAGGGCTGGGCTTGGGCTGGAAGGCGGAAACACCAGAATGAGAGAGGAGAATGAGAGAGAGAACAGAGGGAAGCATCTGAGAAGACAGGCTCGTGACTGCGCATCATTAAGGGCGCCATCCCACTCCGTGTGTAAAAATCCATCAGCAGAACTCAAACAGTCCACAGGCAGCTAGGGAGGAAGCTGTCCCAACTTGCCTGGACCTCCTGCCTCTGTGGTGACCCTTTCTGTGTCACTGCCACTGCCTAGACACCTGGGTCAGATCATCCCTCCTCCCTGACTCAAGAGTCATCCCCAGCATCTCGTTCAAAATGTACCCCACTTCTGCTAGCCAGTAACCTCCTGGATACCCAAGCAATTTGCAAATATACCTTGTATCTTTTTAACCTCTGGGCCTTTGTGTTTACCACCGCCCCTTCCAGGCAGTTTTCTGCTCCCTCTTTCTAGTGATCCCCTAACTGTCTTTCAAAGCTGGGTAGAAAAGTTGCCTGACCAGGCAGGGATAATCTATGCCCCCTGGACAATTGTGCAATTCAAGCCTTGACATCTTGTATTGGGTTGTTTACACCAGTCCCCCTCTCCTCTCTGGGCAGGTGTTTTACCTCCATGGTGGAGACCAGGCCTGACTCAGCCCCTGTGCCCAGGCCCAGTACCTAGTTTGCTGAGATGAGCAAAAGCAGAAATTTCATCACCAAGTTTCAATACCCATCTCTGTCGGTACCTTCCTCCCCGAGTGCCTGATTGGGAGAGCAACCCTGTTTCCCATGCAAGGTAACAGTGGGCATGTCTTACTGTCCATGTCACCTTCTCTTCCCATCCTCTCCACCAGATAGGCACTCCTTGAGGGCAGGCTGAACTCTGCTTCCTCTCTGAAAGTCCAAATGCCAGGTGAGCACTGATAAAGATTCGTAGGGCTGAGTTGGAACTTTACTCAGGTGCAGCCTGGGAGCCCCAGGAAATCTCTCTGCAAAGTTGTGCTTGTGGCTTCTGAGGGAGGGCCTGAGGAAGTCCCCGTGTGAGCTTCAAATGCTCTGCCTTCATAGGGTTGGAAGGATGTTTCCATTCAAGTTTGGAGAGGCCACAGCCCCAGGACCTGCAGGCTTGTCCTCAGGGGTAGCCCCAGCTCAGGGTGCACAGATCCATACTAGTTAGAGAAGGACCTCTGTTTTTAAGCTGCCAAATATTGTAGATCTCCAGGAGGCAGTAGGGCAGCGCTGTCCCATTGCTGCCTCCTCACCTCTCCTGGGAGGCTGGGAGGAGGAACACAGGTAGAGTGAGTGCTTCCTCCCAGGCAGGGAGCGGGCCGTCTTCCTGCCTTTGCAGGGGCCAGGGAGATATTGCCCACTAGCTTCAAGGCTCTCATAACTCTTTCAAGACAATCACTTTATTTATACGAGTTTGTTTAAAAAAACCCGCAGCCGATCCACCCAGGGACCTCTCCGACCGCCTTGGCTTGATTCTTTCCTATCCTCTGAGTCCATAACTCTTAGTCTTTTGATTCTCCCAGTCCACAAACTATAAAAATCTTATTTCTATAAGGTCTTTTATGGTTACCAAGATAGTCAATAGTGTCATTTTCATTCATATCATTCTGCAGGGAAGTTAGAGGAAACGAACCAGACAGAGGAGAGCTATAAATAAGGTTCAGCTACACAGGGCCCCAAGCGGATCCCACTGCGTTCTTTTAAAACTACTCATGCACAGAATACATGCACACACACACACACACACACACACACACACACACACGTCCATGTGTGCCCACACATGCCTACAGACAGGTGTACACAAGCTCACCTCTACACATAGGATATTTTCACACACAGACACACACACAGACACACACATGCTTACACAATTTAGCAGTGTTAATAAAAACCTCTTTCTGGAATTTGCCTGCCTTTGAAGGGCTGAGAGCGGCAGTGACACTTGCTGAGGCAGGATGGGGGGAGTGAAGTAGGCCAGTCCAGAGAACACATTCCAAAGCCATGAAATGCGGGGCTGGGCACCCTGCCACACATGAGCTCATAGGTGGGGGGCTCTCGAGTTCCTGCTAACACAGGAGTCTGAGACCTTGGACCAAGTGGCAGGCGCAGTCCCACAACCAGTGCTGGGAATGCCCAGACAGTGCTCCTACCCCTCTGACAGGTGGCTGGTGCTACCTGAGAACCAAACTACTTGGTCCTTGAGGTGAAGGTGCCAGCCTTGTGGTTGTGGTTTGTCCCCAGCTGCCACTCACCTGAGGCTGTTCACAGCTCTGTGGCTGATGACTCTGCCCTCAGCACAGGACCCTGGAGCAGAAAGCAGGAGTTCTCGGGCACTGTGGCCCAGATGCTAAGGCAGAGAGGGCATGTGGGAATCTGCACGCTGGGGCAAGGGGTACATCCTGACTGGGCCACGCAGAGATGGAGGGTGCAGGCTGGGGAAGACTGAAAGACTTCCCTGGGTGAATGCAGTTGGGACTCCATCCTGTCTTGGGGAGCAAAGGGGCAGAGCAACCAGACACGGGGAGGGACAAGGGCTTATGTGGCTAGGGAGAGGGAATCCGGGCTTGTTGACCAAGGAGGGAATAGCCTGGTTTCTTGCCCTGACTCCTTAACCTTCCATCTCTAGTTTATGTCCTGCAGTGAATCATAAAGAGGAAGAGTTGTCAGGCCCTTCCTAATTTTGGAACTCCAGGTGGACTAGCTACACATCAGGGCTCCAGTGCAAGTATGGCTTCTTGGTTTTCCCATCTGTAAAATGGGGATAATGAGTTTAGACCATTGGCAGTATTCCAAGGATGCTGTTGCAGGGGACTGGGATAATGTCCAGGAGAATGGATGAGCTTATTTGGAAATTGATGGGTTTGAACTTAGAATGGATGCAGCCCATCAGGGTGCCAGGACCCTGAGAAGGCTCCCTCCCCCAGCTTTCTCCTTCCCCTTCCTACTTAGCATGCCTTCTTACCACCAGCACCAAAGAGCTGAGAGCAGCCTATGGCTCTGAGCTCAAGGCCTTGGAATTCCTCTAGCCCACCCCCTCCTGCAAGGGAACTATTAATTGTGATTTAAGCCTCCCAAGTTAAAAGCACCGTGCAGATTTAAGGATTCTTTCATCCCAATTACACATCGTTTCTGGCTGCACTTTAGTGCCAGGCTTTTATCTGTTGTTCTGGGGAATCACTTATCGGCCAGAGCAGCACACTCCACACAGATTTCTCCCTGATTATGTTTAATGGCAAATGGAGAGTTAACTCTCTTCCC